AATACGACATTTTTATTATGCCAAATGTTACTTTTTATAGATGTCCGGATTTGGGTAGATGCTCTCTTTTGGTTTAAACAGTATTTATTCCGTGTACTCAGCTTTAATAAGTTTTTTCGAGTGTCAAGACGACACTCGAAAAAACTTATTAAAGCTGAGTACATTTTCTTTTAATAAGTTTTTCTTGAGTGTTGAGTAGAAAAAAAATAAATACTGTTTTTAAAACAAAACGGAGCATCTACTCAAATACGGGTATCTACTAAAATAAAATTGACACTTTATGCAATTATTATATATATACATTGTCATCCACAGACAGACTGTTTCGCAACTCATCAGTATGGGTAGACATCTAATTGCCTCAAGTCGGGATCGAAACCCGACTGATTCGGAGATTTTACTCCTAAGACATTGGCGCACGGCAGGGACGAAAGTGAATTTAGATGAATTTGTTTTTAGATAAACACGCCAGTGACCGGAGAACTCAATTCGTCTTAAGGGAGAGTGATACATATACAATACATATATATATATATATATATATATATATATATATATATATATATATATATAGGTAACTATACTCGTTTTGAAAAAAACCCTCGAATTTTTGATTTGCCAATAATCAAATCAATCTCGAGGGAAAAAAGCTTTTAAAAAAAAGAAAGAGCTAGAAACATGAAAGTCTGTCGAAAAAATCGCACAGATACAGGTCTGAAGCCCAAAGAAAAAACCCTGATACGAGTAAACAACTAACTAACAAAAGAGCTCAATACAACCGTAGAGCAGACCTAGATACACCTAGGAGCCAGACAAACCTACCCAGGTTTCACATAAGCGGATCGTCAGGGAAAGCTGGCTCCAGCTTTCCTGACGATCCGCTTAGGTAAAACCTGGGTAGGTTTGTCTGGCTCACTAGGTTTATCTATCTATCTATCTATCTATCTATCTATATATATATATATATATATATATATACAGAGAGAGAGAAAGAGTGAGTGAGGAGTGAGTGAGTGAGTGAGTGAGTGAGTTAGAGTGGTGAAGGCTTGAGTAGAAACAGCCAGACTTTTTGGAAGTGTTGATAACAAGAAGTTGGTACAAATATTTGCCACGAGCACAATGAACAAAACCCCTTAGCTTTTATTATCACAGAGATATCCCTCTCCGGTACTAGCAGTGATGTTTACTTTGATGTGATTGTACATAAGCATGAAGGAGAGGAGAATGGTGGAGCTTTAAATTCAAATTAACTTTTTGTAAAAAAAAAAATGTGTTTGGGTATATAATGTAAGCGATTTCATTGAGTTTCTTTTACTTTTTGTTTGTTTACGGTGGGGGACTGCACAAACGCACGAAAGAGAGACGCTGGGAATTTTAATTTAAAGATGATATTTTTTTGTCTGATTTGAGTATAGAATCTAGCCGATTTCATTTAGATTTTTTACATCACTTTTGTTATTAAATATCACACATTGTGAAAATAAAATATCTGCCAAGAGTGATGAAATGTTGTAAGAAACTTCAAGTCTCCTCTTTATCTGCGAAGAAATTGTCCAGCATTCACTGCCATATAGGAGGATTGATATTACATAGAAGTTCAGCACTCTTTTCTTTGTTTCTCTTGCTTCAAGTCTCCTCTTCATCTGAGAGGAAATTGTCCAGCATTCCCTGCCATATAGGAAGATTGATATTACATAGCAGTTCAGCACTCTTTTCTTTGTTTCTTTTGCTTCAAATCTCCTCTTCATCTGTGAGGAAATTGTCCAGCATTCACTGTCATATAGGAGGATTGATATTACATAGCAGTTCAGCAATCTTTTCTTTGTTTCTCTTACTTCAAGTCTCTTCTTCATCTGTGAGGGAGATTGATATCCAGTAGCAGTTCATCACTATTTTCTTTGTTTCTAACTTAATCTTCCTGTTTTTTTATACTTTGTTTAGTTTCGGTAGCCACATTTTAATATTCAATGCACCTTCGGATTTTAGTGTCACATTTTCCTTAAATTTTCCTACTAGCTTGATCTTAACATTTCCAATTCGTAGCTCGCATCTTGGCCTTTCCGTCTAGCTAACAACCATGCATTCGATCTTGATATTTCGTCCTTTCTTCTCGCTTTCCTTTACTACCTTGTTAAGGGGTTCTTGCAGTTTTATATATATATATATATATATATATATATATATATATATATATATATATATATATATATATATATCATCAACATGGTATCATCTGCAAATCTTATGTCAACATTGTGCCTACCATTCATAAATCCTGGTAGGGCTTCTGTTTCTCTTGGGATTGAATAATTATCAACCCTTTGAATGTTATTTATGTTATAGTGGAACACACCTATTCTATAGTTAATAGACTCTCCCACCTATAATAAGTAGGAGTAGTGAGAGTAACAAGGGAGTGGCTGAGTGGGTCAGTCAGTCGATGCCGGACGACCGTTAGTCGGATACTAAAGTATCAACGACCACAACTAGATTACTCTGCGTCATTACCTATTATATGAAATTCCTAACGTTTTGTACGTCGAACCTATTTTAGGACCGACTTAGTACAAATACAAGCCTCCACTGTGAAACCACTACATAACAATTTAAAACCAGAAAATATTTTTAGATTGTGAGAATGTTTGGTTTTGGTGGGTGCAGATAATAATGCTTTAGTGATACAAGTCTTAACAATTAACCCATAGTTGGGTAGGGAGAAGAAGTAGACCCATACGTTTCTAGTGATATTTGAATGAAAATAACAAACTAAACTGAAATTGAACCTCAGCTCTCTGATTTACAATTCTGGGACAATATCAATTACACCAGCCGTACATCCAAGCTCACAGAACCTGGTTCTCTTAGGAATGATTTGCTGTAAAATTTTAAGTAAGTCCGGTGAGACGACGCATCTCTGTCTTACGCCTCTTTCTAATTTTTATCATAATCATACCTTATTTCAAACCTAAAACATGAAAACAAATGAAACTCTGATTAGAGACAATATTTGATTGGCAAACAAGAAATCTAAATTTGTCTAATTGCATTATTTACTTACAGCATCCTTAGAGTAAAAAAAAAAAGTTTACGAAACAGATATTAATTACTTACAATAATGTTCCCGTTGTTCATTCTTTAGTTCTGTAAGCGCAGCAAATTTTACAAGTATACGAACAAATAGTGGAATAGTGAGAAATACCTCTATTCGAGACATCAACAAACTCAGGAGGTAGGTCTGTGCCTTTGCTAGTCATATGGTGACAGGATAGATTTTACGAATGTTGATAGATGAAAGGAGAGGCGTAGGCTTAGAAGGCGTTCAAATAGGCAAAAAGGATGAAAAAGCGACAGAAATAAAAAAAAAAACAAATAAAAAGGAACTGCCGGTGGCATGTAACGGCAGTGGGATAGTGAACGAGGCAGTATAAAGCCATCTTGTGTCATTTAATTTGTCTACTTTTATCAGTAAAGGCCATGCTTCATTGAGCGTGAACGCCGTTAGTGTCTAAGAAGTGACCCGTGCCGAATGAAAAATCTGTTTATTACTTTGTTTTTCCATTTTTTTTTTTTCAACTCTCAGCCAGACAGGTCTTATAATATCACAAGCAGGGTATTTGCACACACTTCGACGTGGTGCAATGGTTAGCAAGCTTGCCTCGCTAAATCACTTACGACTGATTAGTGAGTTCGGTCCGCACAGAGTTCTCCCTACTTACGGCATTGTGCTACATCTAAGATATACTTTGTAAATAAAATACTTCTGTGTAAGACGATAAACTACATCTGGCAGCAATGCCTCTGATGGTGACATTGGATGTTTTGAGAAGCGTGGAACCAGCTTTTAATTGCTGTTCTAACTTGACCCGGGGTGGTGGCACCAGTTAGGGCCCAAGCTGTGGAACAACCAAACAAAAATGAAAACCCTAGGAAAGTATAAAGATATATTTTTATAGTAAATATACCAGCAATATATTCTATTAAAAAAATACCAACAATACATTTTATCTACAAACTATATATCTATAAAACATACGTTTACCCTGAAAATATACAATTATGTACAAAATATCTGTAATTGAAGTCATAAAACTGCGTACATAATGTTTAGAATTCGGCGTTACATTATCCATTGAGGTTGGTATGCCGCTAAAAACAACCAAAGAAAACAGTGAATAAAAGGAATATTTCGACTTGGTGTAATGGCTAGTAAGCTTGTCTAGCTAGACTAATTAAAATCCTCATTAGGTGCTCCCTACTCTATGCCTTGTGCCACATCAAAGCTATGCTTAGTAAATCACTATCAAGTTGTTTACCATAGTTCGTCTCACCTCAACTGTAATTGCCTCGAGATATCCGAGCTTTTTATATGCAGCATTCTTCTTTCATTTTATATAGTATGTCCTTTCAGGACGTAGGCGATCATGGCCATCACCTCCGTCTAGCCCTTGCAGTTCTCAACAAGTTCCTTTCCTCAGTTACCTCCACCAGACCATTCATTGTCGTCCATTTGATTAAACCCGCTTGGTATGGCATGCTTTGTTTTCCTTTGTCTCTCTTTCCCTTTATTCGACCTGTGGGTATCAGATTCTCCAGGCCCTTCTTCCTCATTATGTGTCCCAGAAACTTCAGCTGCCTCTTCCTGATGTTATGTATAAACCTCCCCTTTGTTTGCATTTTCTCTAAGACCTCATTGTTGCTTACACGCTCGGTCCATGATATCCTTGCCATCCTTCTGTAGAAACACATCTCCGTCACCTCGAGTCTCAAAGATGAAGAAGAGACTCGAGGTGACGGAGATGAGAAAATCGCTGGAGATAATAATGATTTTCAGATACAAGTTCTACTATTTAACTCAAAGCTGAGAGGAGAAGAGATGGATTCATGCCTTTCCCAAGGATATTTGCACATGTGAATGTAATGAACCCAACTGGAATTCGAACTCGGGTCTCCGATTTCTCATTCTGAGCCGTTATCCATTACACAACCCATAACATTCAAGTTTACAGAACCTGGTATTCCCAAGCGGTCCCCTATCTCAGTACTGACCAGGCTCGACGTTGCTTAACTGCGGTGATCGTACTAGAACCAACGTAATACAGCCGTAAACCATTTATACCTAGCAGTAGTGTTGTCCCCCTCCTCCTCCTCCTTCTTCTTCGTGCTGTGCCCCTTTAGGATATGGACGGCCATGGTTCTCCACAACTTCCTATTCTATGTAGCAATGTTTGCTTCTTTACTATGCCTCCCAGTTTTGTCATCCATTTACATAAGCTTGTTAAGTATTTTACTCGTTGTTTCACTGTCATTCTTGTCTTAATTATGTCTTGTGAGTGTCGAATTTTTCAAACCTTCTTTCCTTGTTATATCTTCGAGAAATTTCAACTGTCTCGGGTCTTATGGGATACTAGGACTCCCTAACTATGAAATATATCGAATATGTGACCGTTGCATTATTTTTAAAAAAGTGTTTTATAGGTTGTATCGATTTACTATGAATTTCTGTTGCAAACAGAATGGACCTATAAACTCATGAAATACGAGAGAGAAATAATTTTTTTCTGGTTCATATAAGTGTATATTTTGGATATTATTATTATTATTATTATCAATATTATTATTATTATTATTATTAGCTCAATTTGCCATTAAAATTTAAAGTTCCTTGAATTGTTAATATTAAACTTGTTTCTTTTTATATCTGAGACTTATTTATGTGCTTAGGATTTTATCCAATTTTGGGGCAAGAGGCTGGGATTTTGTCCACTGTTTTTTTTTTCCGCTGTAATTTTTTTTTTTTTTTGCCATGGGTTCGTTCGCATCATAGCAGGACTTGCATGTTAATTTGATATATATGTTTACTTTTCGGGTAAAAGAAGTTAGGCGATGAAAGAAAGAAAGAAAAGAAAGAAAGAAAGAAAGAAAGAAAGAAAGAAAGAAAGAAAGAAATAGAAAAATTAACAATGTTCATTCGTGGCAATTTTAAAATTCCACTGGGTTAAGTAGATGCTTTTCCTCTTTTTAAGTTTAATGTTATCAAATTAAAGTGTGGTATGAATTCTTTCATAAATATATTTGTTAGTTTCCGAAATGCATCATTTCCAATATGAAAAAAAAAAAAAAAAACATCAAATTGTTTGGTCAAATATATTTCTCAAGAATAATTGTCTCCCAAGGAAACCAAAATCCCAGCACAAAAGGTTTTGATACAGCTTATAATTTTAACATAGTAACATAAGTATTTCGTTCTCTAAAATAAATGCAAGTAATATGTGTAAGTTAAGACTATAAAAATGATTTTTAAATAATCGGGGAATAAAACATTTCTCTGAGTCTCTTTTTTTCTTAAGTCCTGTTAGGTTTCGTTGCAGGTACGGCATCACAAAATAAATTTGTCGGAAGGCTAAAAAAGTGAGACAAAGCTTAGTCAGATTTTAAGTTTTAAAAATTCTTATAATCTACATTTATTTATTTTTTACCCTCTCATAAAATATTTTTTTAGATTTATTTTCTTATTGAATAATTTGTTTTTGTTTTGATTTAAAAGAAATTTGGTTCACTGCGTTCTGCTGGACAATGTTTCTCGCTAGAATCTATCTTAAATATTTATAAGTATAGCCTTCGTCCATGCTTTGAATAATGCTGTCACGTCTGGTCTACTGCGCCTGATGTATGTTTAGAGATTCGGAATAAAATTCAATGAAGAATCTGCAATATTATTGGTCCTGACCCGACATCTCTGTTTCAGTCCATTTCCCGTCGCCGTAACGTAACTTCCATGTGCTTTTTCTATAAATACTTTCATGCTAATGAATTTAAGCGCTGTACTAGATTGACAGCAAGTTTTCATCATTTTAGAGTTAAAATGGCGACATGTAATTATAAGTTCTATGCTTATAGCTTCTTCTATTGAACTTCTTGCTTATGGAACTCTCTTCTGACTTCTTGCTTCCCAGTCAACATTAATCTTCAAAAATTAAAACGTTATATTAATCGTTATCTTCTGTCTTCTTAATTCTTGTTCCTTATTATTCTCATTCCTTAATAGTCTTTTTATCTCATATTCTCTCACACTTGTGTCTTAATGAATGTATTGACATGCTTGAGGTGAAATGAACCAGAAGTCAAAATGGCTACAATTGAAATAAAAGAGGAAAAAGCATAAAAATATTAAGGAGTGAGTGTAAAGTGGAAAATAAAACAAACAAATAAACAAAAAAACAAGAAAAGGACAAATAGCAAAGACATTCTACATGTACGCACATACGGACTATGAAAAAAACTTACACAAATGAAAAGTGTACATAAAAAAGAAAAAATGAAGAGAAGTATAAGTAGTCAATTGCTGATACCTCTTGACCAGTGGACGAAGTGATTTCCGGATGGTCTGTCTATGAAACTCTACAGTCGGGATGCTGAAGGGTAACATCAATCTGCCTTTTACTTGTATTAATTCTTTCTTTCTTTCTTTCTTTCTTTCTTGCTTTCTTGCTTTCTTTCTTTCTTTCTCTCTCTCTCTCTCTCTCTCTCTCTCTTACCTGGCTGATATGACTAAAAGGCAGATGCGACCCGAGTCTTTTCCTGCATATAAGACTTACAGTGGGGTTGAATACGGGATTGAACACATGAAAATATTTCATATTTTTATTTGTAACATATTAACTTAACAAAACGGGAATATATCTTCTGTATCAGATTGCATACTAAAAATGTATGCATATAAAACTAAATAATATTCCATGGTTAAGAAAATATAGCAATATTTAAATTTTTAGGGGTTTAAAAATGATCGTACAGCAGAACAAAAACATGTTTTCTCCATTTAATATTTTATAGAAAAGCCTTTATTAAGTTCAACAGCAACCAATCTCTTCCTGTAGTCTTTAATTAAAGATTCGCATACTTTAGTAGGTATTTAGTCCCATTCTTCCTGGATAATTGTCTTCAGGTTTTTGATGTTTGTTGGACCTCTATGACGGATCTTATTTTTCAAAAACCGCCATAAATTCTCTATTGGATCCAAATTCGGTGACTGACTGGGCCATTGTAAGATGTCAACATTGTTATTAGCAAGCCAATTCTTCGCACTCTTAGTAGTATGCTTGGGATCATTGTTCTGCTGGAAGATCCAATCAGGAGGAAGCCCAAGATTCTCCACAGAAATCGATGAATTTTCGCTTAGGATTTGTTGCTATTTTTCTGCATTCATTCTACCGTCTATAATTGCTAGTTTGCCAACACCTCGCATCGAAAAGCAGCCCCAAAGCATGATACTACCCCCACCAAATTTGACAGCTGGTATGGTGTTCTTGGGTAAGTATGCTTCGCCGTCTTTCCTTCATATATGATTCAGGGAATTGCGACCGAACAAATCAATTTTACTCTCATCTATCCAAAGAACTCTCTGTCGCAAATTTCAACCTGGTATCTCTATGCCGTTTCAGAAGGAGTGGTGTCTTTCTTGGGAAGTGCGACTTTATACCGTCTCTGCGTTGTTCATTACTAATCATTTGCTTAGTTATGTTAACTCCTGACAAACTCAGATCATTCTGAAGGTCTTGTCTGATGGCCATTGGGTTATTTTGGATCTGTCGCATTAACTTTCTTCATAATCTGGGAGAGATCTTCCTGGGAGCACCAGGTCTGCCTTTGTTCTCAACAGTATTACGTCTTAAATCTTGCAATAAATGAACCAATTGTTGAAAAAGGTATGTTCGTATCACTGGATGTTTCTGTAACCTTTTCCATTGTTCCAGAGCTTAAAAATTAGCTCTTTTTGAGCACAAGTCATTTCCTTACGTCTAGCCATTATTAAAACTGTTATAAATGAACAGTGACTGCAGAATGATCCAATTCTGAACTGAATGTTGCAATAGAGTTACTAAGAATATTCTAGAACAGTTTAGAATCTTCTACTTTGAAGTACAACATAAATCTACCGTATTATAACGCAAAAATTGATACTGTACGAACACTTTTTCCACTATTCGAAATATAAAAATTTGCATAACTATCACTTATCGATGAATTTCTAATTTTAAATTTCAGATTCTGATTCTATGCCCCAAAATGTATATATAACATTAGTTATTTGAGGTTTTCATTCGCTATAAGTGAGAATAACAACCATTTGTTTGCTGTACGATCACTTATTCAACCCCACTGTATATATTTTTAAAATCTAATGTGCCCCACATCGCCAAAGAAAGAAAATGAAATCTCATGCTTTATTTTGAAAATTAATGACAATAAGAATTTCAAATAGCATTGTCATACATTGAGGCTATGACGAATTTAGTCTTCTGTTTAAATTCTCATTTCTGACATAAGTGAAGAGTTGTGACGTACCTCCAGATCTTTTCTATTAATTCACCACAAAATATTAATTTACCGCACAATAAAAATAATTTATATTCACTATAGTTCGCACCAAATTCTCCCAGAGCGTGGCGGTTCCATTGCACTCCGGTTGGGTTGATCTTTGCGATTGCCCCAAATGTGGGCGACTTGAGTGCGCTAATTTCTAAATGCGGGATCTACATTCGCGCTCACTCCAATACAAACGCTAAAAACAGAGTTTATTTATTTATGTTTTAATTATGATTCCTTGGAATATCGTCCGCGCTTACGAGATGAGAATAACTCCCTGATTTTTCGTAAGTTTTCATTCTTGGGCTGGAGTTGTTGTGAGGCAGGCTAAACAAATTTTAATTTAAAATTTTTAATTTCAAAAGAATACCAAAATTTTAATAACAAAAAGAAACATTGCTTTAAAATTTATACTGAACGAATTAATATTTACGACAACTTTACATTATTTGGCGTGAATTAAAAGAAAAGTTCCGTACCTCCAAACCTCTTTATAGCCCCGTGAATACATAGAAGAGGATTTTTTATAAATGTTGAAACTGGTTTGTGGTTATCAACAGAGATAATTTTTCTTTGTTTTCTTACAATAAAAAAAGAATTGATTCCTTGTATTAAGTATTGCTGTAGATAATTA